GTCGTGTGTGTGTGTGTGTGTGTGTGTGTGTGTGTGTGTGTGTGTGTGTGTGGCGGCCGATATCAATCAACAGCAAGCAAGCAAGCAAGCATGCAAGCAAGCAAGCAAGCAATCAGCTATAGCGAGCGATCGATCGATCGATCGTCTTCGCTGTACTAGTAGTAGTAGTAGTAGTAGTAGTAGTAGTAGTAGTAATAATAATAGTAGTAGTAATAAGGATAAGGGCGGAAGGGTGTGCTTTGTGCTTTGTGCTTACGGGCAGGCAGGCAGGCAGCTTTGGATATCATTCCCGCGCTGGTGTCTGATATGTCTGATTTGTCTGATATGTGTGTATGGGGGGGAGATGAGATAGCTCTGTCAGGTCAGCTCAGCTCAGGTCAGGTCAGGTCAGAGAAGAAGCGGGATGACTGACTGACTGGCTGACTGACTGACTGACTGACTGACTGACTGACTAGATATGGGTGGGGATACTACGCGGCGATGGATGGATAGATAGATAGGATAGATAGGACGGGTGTGTGGATGGGTGGGTGGGTGGATGCGTGCGTGATGGATAACTCCCTCTCTGTTTCTTTTTGTAATCTCTCGCTCGAGGGATGAGGTTGATGGGTTTGGGGTTTTGAAATCCTCCCCCCCCTTTCTTTTAAAAAAAAAAAAAGTAGCGGTTGTAGCTTTAGAGAGAGAGAGGTGCATGATGCGGCGATGGTTAGTAAACAGCTGCGCATTTGTCTTTTGGCTTTTTCGAGGTGGAATGAAGGGGATGTTGAGGGGGGGGCAGGTGAGGTGAGGTGAGGTGAGGTGCGTTGCAGGAATACAATTCGATGAATCTGATGAAGGAGGCGGTGATTTATGGATGGATGGATGGACAGCTTGCTCTGTCTTGATGCCGTGACCGTGACCGTGACGCATACCTACCTACCTATTCCGTCGTTGTATCTAGTTGCAACTATCCATCTATCCATCCATCCATCCATCCATCCATCCATCCCAGCAGATAACACCAAAACCAAACAAAAGACAAAAGCAGAGAGGAGGGAGAGCTCTCATTGAGAAGACTACATACGGACTACAAACTACAAACTCCGCAAGTACCTGCGGCTCGATGCGGTGTTCCCTAAAAGGTAGCGCCGAATAAGGAAGGCAGAGAGAGAGGCTGACTTGCCGAAATAATCAGTGATTAGTAAGGCAGCTAGCTGCTTAATTCTTATCTGATCGAACCGAGCTTGGCTTGACATGGGCGTGAGATACCGGTACGTAGCATACAGGTAGGTAGGTCACTTCATACATACACATACACATACCTAGACGCCCATCACTGCACGTCACCTACTGGTTTACATGCACGCCGCGAGGGAAAGATGCGACGCGTCGGGGAGGACCGTTATTGGAATTACGGGGGTGCGAGAATAGCGTGTGTGAGTGGTAGTTGTACAGCAACTGTGTATGCTATCATGGTCAACAGGGTGAGGGAGTGAGTCCCTAGCGCTCTACTCTGGAAATGCTTGGTCAACTAACCAGGTACTGAGTAGCTGAGCCTGCCATGTCTTCCGCATATTCATCCATCCATTAACAACTCACGCAACTCACGAACCAGCGAGCCCGCTTGCATCTCATCTCCTCCTAGACAGCTCGTACCATCTTCTGTCAACATACACACATACATCCGTGCAGATCTGTGATGAGTGTACTCCGTGCAGGAGTTGTTGGTGGGGAACAGACTTCCCCGCCTCATGCAGAACGTGGCACGGTAGGGCCTGGCGCATGGAGATGGAGGTAGGTCCGGCGCGCCGACCGGCACCTGCACGCGGGATGGGATGAGATTCATGCGGTTTATTCAATCCGATGGGGGGTCGGGGATAGGTCCGGCGTGCTGAGCCGGCACGTACGGCGCTGGATGCGAGGAGACGTACGTACCGGGGATGGAAATGAGCATGGAGATGGAGGAGGTAGGTCCGGCGTGATGACTGTGACGAGGATGCATATGAAAGATGTACGGAGGAGGGGGGAGGAAGGCGTCGCTTATGGGTCAGTCATGCAGGCATGTGTTGGGTGGTGGTGTTTGGGTATTGCTGCTGGAGGATAGGAGTGGGTGTGAGCGAGGGGGTGAAAAGGGGGTGCTCCGTAGAGCAGACGATGGAGGTCGAGGGCCGAGGCGGAGTTTTGGGTGCCCAAGCATGGTTGGGGAATGTGATTGTTGTTGTTGTTGTTGGAGTACGTACTGTACCGTACAGCTCGAGTTCGTGTGGCCTCCATGAGATTGACATGTCGGAATGGTTGGCTGTTATGACTTCCTCTTTGGAAATAGTTCTCATGGAGCGGTTGGGTTAGGTAGCGCCTACCACAAGGCGAAGCGAAGTAAACAAGTTGCAGCCTCCAATGCAGCCTTTTCAATGCAGCCTGGCGGTACACGAATCTCGATCAGGATGTAGCACCAGGCCAGGGGAATTGCGACGAGAGAAGCGGCGAATGGGTGGTCAGCCTCTCGGTCCCAAGGAAGTGACTTACGCAGTACGCAGCCTCCTCCGGTCTCGCCCCGTGGTCCATGGTAGCCCGGGGATGCTTGCTTGGATTGGGTCGCAGCCACCATCGGTGACGAGGACTGCAACTACTGTCATTACTACTTACTGCAAGCTACTGACCCCATCAGCTGTACCAGGTTCTGCTACAGCCTTAGCAACAGCTTCAAGGGTTCTCATTCACCTCTTGTCGTCGACATGTGGCAAACCCACCGCTGCTACGTAGATCGCTGCAATCCACGGCTGCTGCTCGCATATTACCCATCCATCCATGGGTCTCACTCTCCTCCTCTTCGTATTATCTTTGCGGAGGTCTTCGATACTAGCACGGTTTGAGTGTGGTTGGTATTATTCTGCAGCAAACCTGAACATGTCTCGGTCGAGAAGCAAGCAAATGGATTCCTGGATATCGGGCATTTCCACATCCAACTTGGCAGGTCCTTCTCAAGGCGTTCTTTTGCTCATGGGATGTATGGGCGGTGGGTGGAATGCGAGGCGCGTGGCCAATAACTGTTCTCTGCAGCCCTAAAAAGGGGTTTCTTCCGTAGTGTGGCTGCGAGGGGGGGGGATGACCCGCGCGTGATGCCCATCGCCCTCCTGTCTCGGCGGTCAAGCTTCGAGAGAAGAAGACGCGTCACGATTGGCGACGAGAGGGCCAGGAGGAGGATTCCGAGGGTGAAGAAGCAATGCGTTACGGAGTATGATCGACCCGGCGATCACTCCTTGCTGATCTCATGCACGGCTTTCTTCAGCCGTCTCTCGCCCCTGCAGGAGGAAGGAGGACGCTCCAGAAACGTCGACGGTGTGAATGGTGCGTTATTCATGGATACCGGTACTCTTCGCGAGGTGTGGTGGGCCTGGAGAGCCACGGTACTCTAGTACTATACGTAGTAAGGAGGATTGCAGGAGAAAATTGGGACTAGACGACTCGCGCACGTAGGTTTCTTGAGATGGGGGGATTTCCATCCATTCCTCGAGATATTGCTTTGTCGATGGGGGAGATGTTTAGACACCCGTTTGAAATGAGTTCGGAGGGTTTTCTCCGGTCGTTTCTTCTTTTTTATATCAAGGAGCTTTGACCGTAGATCCCAGCGGAGGATGGGGTTGGGAAGAGAGAGGGTGGAGAGTCGGAGCGTCGGCGCGTCGGAGCGTCGTAGACCCCAACTGTGCCTGCAGAACCGCGGCGTGGCACCACAAGGCGTTGCACCTTGGCGGAGCTGAGTGAGAAGGGAGCTGAGTCAGGTGACAGGTCTAGATCAACCTGAGGAAGTGGAAGATTTCGCTGCAAGCTTGACCTAGTTCAGCTTGAGTTCGGTTGGATTAGATGTGCTGCATAAGCCCGGAGAATAAGCTGTTTGGATCATCGAATCTGGATACTACTACGTAGTCCGTGCAAGCAATGCGCCGATCCAAAATTTCCCTTTTCCGCTCACGCTCACCCACCCACGAGCCTCTCGGATTGGCGGCAGAGTCTTGGTGCAGCATGCCAGCAGCAGCAATAACAACAACAGGAAACACGAAGCTACTCTGTACCGTAAAGCCGTGCTGGGGAGAGGGAACACTTGCATCCGGGGTTGGTGCCGTCCGTCTCGCTTAGGATATCCCTCCACCCCGTAAACAAACCGCGAAGTAGGGTGGATCGACAATTGGAAGACGATATAGATTATATCACTCGTGCAGCAGGAATGTGTGAGGCTGCTGCTCCTGTGTTGCGCGCGCTTGCATCTTCAAGGCTGTGCCTGGGCTGAATCATCGACACGGCTGAATGATCAGTTGGTCGAGGCAAAGAATGAAGAAGCGATCGTGAGCCGAGCCGAGCAGTATCCGTCTGTTGGGCTCATCAGAACGGGAAGGTGCGGATCCCTCCTCTGGCTTTGGGGCTAGAGTGCTAGAGGGCTAGAGGGCTAGAGGGCTAGAGTGCTAGAGTGCTAGAGCTCTAGAGTGCTAGAGTGCTAGAGTGCTAGAGTGCTAGAATGCTAGAATTCTAGATTGCTAGATTTCTAGATTGCTAGATTGCTAAAATGCTAGAATGCTAGATTGCTAGATTGCTAGATTGCTAGATGGCTAGATTGCTAGATTACTACGTACTGTGGTAGAATGCCAGATTGCCAGAGTGCCAGATTCGCATGGGGTATGTATCTTGACTGACCCATCTCCGGGTATCCTGACTGATGCACCCCGTCTCACCCCCATGCCCTCGCCAGAAGAACAAATCTGACAAGTCCTAAAATTAAGTACAGTAAGTACAGCAGTAGTACTACTAAGTAAGCCACGGATCATTCGGGCGTCTGCGGCTCCACCAGAAAAACAATCCTCAGACGGTACCGTAGTAGGACTACTAGGTAGTGCGTACAGAACGGAGTATATTTTTGGTGCTGAAACGGGGGAGAACAAGGGCAGCACAGGAGCCAAAGCGTCGAGATCCCTCTCCCCCGGAGATAACATCGGGAGGCGAGACCAGATCCGTACGTACTACGCAGGTAGAGTAGGTTAGGTTGTATGGAGCACATGGCTGGGCCGGGAAGGAATGAAAAAAAAAAAGATTGCAGAGGCGAGGGATTCATCATCACTTGTCATCATGGAGAGAGATCGTCGGGATCCGAAAAAGTCCGTTTCTCTCTTACGTAGAGCCCCGAGTGCTGCTCCGCGGCTTCGGCGCAGAGGGAGGTATTGGTTTGCATGCAAATACTGTGCGCATAATGAGACTCAACAAGGTATAGATAGTGCTCGTCGTCGTCGGCGGCGTTCCCGTCGTTCGATTGCCCAACCCAGAGGCAGGGGAGAGAGAGAGAGAGAGAGAGAGAGAGAATTTCCCAGCCGCCCGGTCGGTCGCCCGCAGCTCTCGGGACGAAAAACGTCGCGCGATGTTGGAATTAGTTGTCTATGAGGGCATTTTTGTTGGCCTTCCCGCTTCATAACCTTGCTTGCTGCAGAATTCCCGTTGGTCGTGCATTACTCTCCGTGCGGAACCAATTGACGCCTTGGGTGTGCTTCCTTTGCTTCCACTTATTCTTTTTCCTTTTCCTTTTTTTTTTTTTTTTTTCCCGCGCGCGACAGTCCGCAAGGTGGAAGAGAGGAGCGAGCTCGCACGCAACGCGAAATCGAATCGTGTTTCCCCCTCGGTAAGAGAGAAGAGAGGAAACGAAGCGAGGAAACTCACGACCGGTTTGCGACTGGTTTTCCGTAATTACCATCACCCACCGGCCGTCCTGCTTTGGGAAGGGCTTGCGAGAAATGAGCTCGGCCAGGCCATGGGCCCCATCCTCCTCCCGATAGTTGTCAAATCCTGTGGAGTTTGCCCACGGACTTACGGTCTTCTCATTACGGGGCCCCTCTGGGAGTAGGTTCAAGGTTCAAGGAGAGGGGGGGAGGAGAACAGGGTGTCGTGGATCGAAGCTTGGTGTTGTACGTAGTAAATACAGTAAAGTCAAAGTCGAATGAGTAGAAGGACCCTGAAAGAGAACGGGCGTGCCCGATCGTGAGGGGGCCGGGAAAAAGTGTATATATTATTTTCCCTCTCTTGAAACCAAAACGCTCTCGCCGTTCATATCGGGGACATGAAAGATTCCTCTGAGCTTTGGGGGGGCCAAGAATACTGCCACCAGGAAAGCGAGGCTCGTGCACTTCTGTGGGTACCTGTTCGGATGTTACGAGGAGTTGTACCGTACGGTACTAGTACATAGAGTGAAGTCTCGATATCGTGGTGGTTGAAGGTCGCGTTGAGGATCGGGGCCGCCTGGATATGTACTACGTATATTGTCCGTACCTACTACGTCCTGTATAAGCAGAGACGGATTCGCATGCCAGGATAAGGAACCAAAAGTGTACGTAACAAGAAAAGGGTTGTAGAGACTATCTATTCTATCCATGCCGCAGATGCCTTTGGAATATACGTAGTACTACGTAAGTAGGACTACTACTAAGTACTACGCGTTTGAATAGCTGCTAATGATTCCCAGCCGCATCTACAGAGGTACCGGTAGACACCATCGACCCGCCCACACCGATCTTGACCGAGGCTCGCTAAAATTGCTAAACCTGCAACAAAAACATTCGACTGTCAATCAACACGGAGAGTGACCAGTCAGCCATCCAAACGAGCCACGGAGACATCGGACTCCCGTTTTTAATCCCATGATGCTCCTAATAAAAGTAGCGAAGGTTCGAGACTTCGGCGGATTAACTCTGCTTATCTTCCTCCGAGTCCCTGCCCTCCCTTCATCAAATTAATTTAGCCTTTTTTTTTTTCTTTTTTTTTTCCCCCCCCTCCTCTCTCTCTCTCTCTTTAAACCCTTTCAATTCTCCCTCCCACACCTTAACCCCCCACCCCTTGGCCAAGGCTCAGTGCGGTGGAGTAGCTTCGCAGGTTCCCAGTGCCCAACCTGGGTTTCCCTCGATAACCCCC